TAGTGAATCAATAACAACTTAGCTTCAGTGCACAGTGAACTAGTAACATCTATTTTAAGTATACGGCAGTCCAGTAAACTAGGTACTCAGTTTTTACCGGGAAGTACGTTCTGTCTGGTGGTAGACTGTTGCAGACAACAAATCAATGGGTACACGGTAGCCTGTATATAGACAGTAATATCGAGCGATACACACTCCTGCACCACTATCTGTAATCATCATTACCTTTGGAAAAAGTAGCTTTTAAATGGAAGAAACCTCACGACCGTCCAATAGTTCAATGAACTCATGAATGAATCAACGTGTCTCGCGTTTTATGCGCCTAGCATAATTCTCTGATTTGAAAAATTTGAAAACTTTTCTTGGCTGAAATGCTATCATTCCACATAACATTTTACGAGTAATTCTAAAGTATAACTTCCGTTCACTTTGTTCCCGAATTGAATGTGACGTCAGTGCGGAACGTAGGTAACCATGGTTACAGGTTTGAAGTATTTCTGCTGCCTGAGGACTTTTGTGACACTGACAGTGCACGTGTGACGTAAGGCGGTCGCCATGGTTACCAGGTATGAACATGACGGAGGCCCTTTCATGTCTGTCATTGGCAGAAAACGTGCTTTTTTCCAACCCTCAAATTCTCGGTGTTATTCAGTAATGACAACTGAAGGTCTCTTGGTCACATCTGATATCAACAATAGTTGCTTGACGTAAGATATGGCCGTGGTTACCATGGTGATGCATGGTTTAGACATCAAACTATTTCACGCATTTCCTCTCAAACCTTTTTTTTTCTATAATGCGCTAATGTAAAAATAGCCTGGATTGTAACACTCCTGGCTAATCATTGGTTTACAGCAACTGCGAGGATCTAGCTACATGCAGAAGTCCTGATGGTTGAAATAAAGTACTCTCCAAGCAGAGGTTGTGGGGGAATGATCGTTACCTTTTTATATATGGCCGTTTTTTTGTCACTACCCCCACCCGATCAAATAAAACAGTCATTCATTCATTCAAAAACTATCGTAATTGCATTATACAATGTATGTGAACAGGGTTTCATGAATGGGGAACATTGTAGTAAAATCTTGGCTATATTGAATGGCGCACCAGATGTTAATGATTGTTGTTCAATATGAAATGTAAACAGTAATTTCGAATCTGCTAATTGTCTTGTTCTCATCGCGATTCTGGGCACACCTTTATAAAATGTGCCGCGTGTGTCACGGTTTTCTTAACCATACCATCCTGCGTAAAATGATCGCTTCAAAAAGTAAACTTTAGGTATGAGTTTATTTTATCAGAAAATAGACGAACACCACACTAAGTGAAATGTTAGGCGGAACAGAAAACTGAGAAGGGTGGAGAGAACCTTTTTTTTTAATTCCAACATTTCATGACAAGACATGGTGACAGCACACTCGAGTTATATCAACTTATTTTATGCCGCCACCAACACATACAGAGGACGAATACAGGACAGGACAATACTCATTTTCACTTGTTGTTAGATCATCTGTGGTGGCCCCAACGCGTCGAATAGTTGGACTAAGGGATAGATTAGATGGTGTATTAATTATAGTGGATTCATTCCTGAGGCTAACCTACGTATACATCTTTCACATCGCAGTAGTCCCTCAGTAAGACCCCACACGCCTTGTATATCTCGTATATATTACTAACACACGAAATGCACTTGTCTTGTCTTTTACACCCACAGACTCAGTTATTGATCCTTGGTGCCTTTTCCTTCAGTTACCCTTGTTTCATTAGTACCGGTCACCTGTTCTGTAACTAACACGTGCGGCTGCTATAAGATATGGTTATACTTCATTCAAAGTCCTCATATGTGTGTCGTACATGTATGTCGCAGGAAATGCCTGCAAGCTATCTCCGTGTTTCAAATTAATTTCAAATTACTGACGACACATGAAACCTACGTGCCTCCCTCCCACGCACACAATCACTAACTTCCCACACAACAATTAACTCCATCATATACCACATGAAAGAAAACGCCTCGCCGAATCAATTTGTGATTGAAGACGATGGGTGGTTGTGAGTGGTAATTCCGCTTCAGCCTATGCGGTCCATTAACTGGCTTGTCTGTACATATTAAATCGTACAATAGCCTCTGATTATATAACCATTTGCATTTGTATTTAGGTCAAAAAGGTTATGGACCTACAACAACAATTTCATTCAAAACGCTTAGTGATTACAGTTGGATGATTTTTCTATTTTCTTTATATCTACATAATTGTTTGCTACATGTTTTGCTACATGCTACACGTGCTGGTCAAAAAAAGGATAACTCATTATTTCACTAGAAGAATATGACCTGTGATTAGGGCTAAGTTGTTATCATTTTCCTGTCTTGTCTTTTCTGATACAAAACAGTGGGCATGGTTCTCTAAAGAAAGCACGATTCTGGATACAACACAACAAGGAGTCGTGTGGCGCAACGACAGAGCGTTTGAATCCTGCCATGCCACCGATCTTGTGCCCTTTGGAAAGGCACTTAACACGAATTTCCTCACTTTGCTCAGGAGAAAATGAGTACGTCTGTTGTCCGTTCATTCGTTTGTCTGCGTTGGTGGAGGCATAGAAATAGGTTGAAAAAAACTTGGGCGTGCCGTCGCCAAGTCTTGTAATAAATGTTGGAATAAAAAACACAACAAGCGATTGAAGACGGTACATGAGGCGGCTGCTTTGGGCAAATTGAAGACATCCTCATCAATACCAACATGTCAAAGTATCAAATAACACCGAGACTTCGTTCAACCCGACACTAGTCATTTCAAAAGCTAGGGGTTCCTTTGAAATCTTTAACTTCCTATCGTCGTAGTTAAGAGTTCGTCAGAAGGATGACGGCTGAGACTATCAATCATACGGTTTCGACTTTTTATTCCAAAGTCTTCATCAGAAAATAACTTCCTATCATCAAATCCAACTACTACAGGCTCTCGTCTTTCCCTCGTACCATCAAAGAGTGGAACGAACTTAAGCCTGGTGCGGCGGAGGCGGGGTCTCTCGCCCAGTTCTAAACTGGACTGGCGAGGACGACCCTGCTGCATTGAGCTACCCCATCATGTCTTTTATACATGTATATAAATGTATTACTAACACACTAAATGCACCTGTCTTTTACACCCACAGATTCAGTTATTTATATTCCTTATGTCTTTTCCTTCATTTCCCTTTGTTTTATTTGTACCGGTCACCTGTTTTATAACTAACACATGTGCAGCTGCTCGTAATCCGACACCAATCGGGCTAAGCAGTATAAAAGATGAATGCGGAAGGGAGATTGCCTATGGCGGTCAGTGCGTCAAACACGACAATTGAGATGTCCTGTCAGACGTTTCCTTTCTGTGAATCTGGTTATGTGACTATGTGGTCAGACGTACATGCATTTAACGTCATATTACCTTTTCACTGCGATACAGCACTTTGCTGTTTTTCTGACCGCGAAAACAGCCACAGACTTCCCCCCAATGCTGAAGCTATGTGTAACAACACTGCTTGTTGAAAAGCGGCCACACAGCCTACCAAGCATCGAGACTAAAAAAGCGCTTTGACTGCTAACAACGAAATTCCAAATGAAACGTAACACTAAGCTTCTGTGCAAGGTAAACCAGTCATATTGGCCCTGATGAAGATGACAGACGGTCATCGAAACGTCGGATCTTGTTACCAAATAAAGAGCTCTGCTATTAAATCACTCAGCGACCTAATGAAATTATTTACGGAACACTAAATATTCCTTTCAAACCGTCACTAGGATGTTCAAAAGTTAGGTTTTTCCCTTTGAATATGTCAACTTCGTTCCCACATGAGGACCCACCTGCAAATGACCTAAATGTCTACTCATTTGGCGAATCATTATCATTGACATCAACTTATTAGTATCTAGTGCGGTTCCGTCTCTTCAGCGGTCGTAGCCATTTAAAATGGTATATGTCATGTCACTGAATGGTCTATCCGAGGGTACCAACATTTTTGAGGGGCAAAATCATTTAAAACGTACAAAAAAACAACATTTCAATTCCAAATACAGAGATAGATATAGATACAGGACTGGTACAGAAGCTGGTGCTATACAGATACAGAAGCTGGTGTGTTACGCCGAAGGGCGGTTATACCGGCTATACAGATACAGAAGCTGGTGTGTTACGCCGAAGGACGGTTATACCGGCTATACAGATACAGAAGCTGGTGTGTTACGCCGAAGGAGCGGTTATACCGGCTATACAGATACAGAAGCTGGTGTGTTACGCCGAAGGGCGGTTATACCGGCTATACAGATACAGAAGCTGGTGTGTTACGCCGAAGAGCGGATATACCGGCTATATACATTTACAGATAATAACTTCCATTGTATGTTCCTTTAGCAAAAGTACGACTAGGGCAACTTGAACATATGCCAGCATATGTCGAATCGAACGTCTAACCCCTAAAAAGACGCAACAAGTAAGCATAGGTTTACATATATAATAGCCTCCTCCAGCTTTCCTATCGTGTTATGGATAGGTAGATTCGGCAAAAATATGGTCAGGAATTGACTGGGTGAGTGAGTCCGCAGTTAACACTCACTAACTGCACAGAAAAATTACTACGGTGGCCAAATTTCCCTGCCACAGTACTCTCCCTATTTGGCTAAATTCTACTATTTTGCAACTCGCATTAATTGTCAGTCTGGTGGAGGCACAGGTTGGTAGACTTACCGCATATGACGTCACCATGTCTTGTAATAAATGTTGGAATAGAAAAAAAGGTGATTGAAAACGGCGGAGTTCTCGTCTAAAACAGACACCACGTAAGCATGGGTTTACAAAAATGAAACATGTCGGTTGGTAGTAGCCTCTACCAGGCCTTCCTATGGGGTTATTAATAGTAGAATTCGGCAAAAATACGGTCAGGAATTGACTAGGTGAGTGCGGTAGGGTAACGCATTAACTGCACGGAAAAATGAACTCTATGGTATTGGTAGCCAAAACCCCCTAGCAAATTTTTCTCCACATCTGGCAAGAGCTTTACGATTTTTCAACCCTCGTTGTACGCGTCTGATGACAACGGAGACTTGTAAGTAAGAAACCTTACCGCATATATGGCGTCGCTTGGTTGAAGAAGCAGGAGCGCCGACGACAGGAAAACCCAGCTGTACACGAACATCTTGGCAGATAGCTGGCGATAGATGTGTAGCGGTTAGGACGGCGGTGGCTTGCTGGAGCGTCGATGCCCGGCTGAGCCTGTACGAATGGCCAAACTCTACCAAACCCGCTCTGTTTGTAGGCTCCAACTACCGGGGGGCGAGTCCATGTGTGGGCTGCGCAGGGGGAGGGGCAGGTTGTATACACAACGTCATCACTGACGTCATGGGTTGCATGATCATCGTCATCAGCGGTAATTCCTTTTATCTCACGTATTTTGATGTTATCATATAATTATCACCTCCAGGCTATAGTGAGGAGTACAAAGTAATATCATGGCAATTCTACAAATAGCGTCGACAAATTAATGACGTCAACTTGTAAATTACCGTAGGACATAATTCAATCTTCAGGTGATGACGTTATAATACCGATGTAACAGTTACAGTTACGCAAGCAACGGGATAAATTTTGAAAACTCTCTGATCTTTCGGGTAGCATCCGCTATTTTTCACTGCCAAACCCTAACCTGTCACTGGCGACAAGTAGGGAATACTACTTTATTCATTTATTTATTTTTATTTTTATTTTCCGTCATCTTTATACAGGGTGGCTCATTAAGTGATTACACTTCTTTTCAATGGGGCCCTGTTTTACAAACCAAACACAACAATACTACCTGAAACGTCTGACCGTTTTCAACATCTACTTATTCAGTTGCTTTCAAGAGTGATATCTTGGTATCTTCTTACGTTTCCGGTCGTGTGGCCTAGCGGTAGCGTCTTCGGTTCGGAACCAAGAGTTCGAACCTCACCTTGTTACCGATCTTGTGCCCTTGGGAAAGGCACTTTGCACGACTTTCCTCACTTCACTCAGGTGAAAATGAGTACCTAGCTTCCGTTAGGTACGTCCTTCTGATAGGACGTTAAATGGAGGTCCCGTGTTTGGGAGAGCATACTGTACACACAATTTAGCTAATAGGCTGCCCTTCATTCATTCTTTTATTTATTTATTTATTTATTCATTCATCGATATGTGTGTGTGTCATGTTTATTCCTTTCGTTCTACCATTCCTTTTATTTTTCTTTTGTCCTATTCTTTTTATCTTCCCTTCTTCCTTTCCCCACTCTATTTTGCAATAAACGTTTTTATTCTCCTTCACTCCTTCGGTTTTACCTGACTAACGTTATTTTTTACTTCGAATGTTGCGTTATTTTTTTATTATACTATTTCATTTCTTTACGACGATGACATGTACTTAGGTTGTAAGAGTGAGCATAAACGTACAATAATTTATTTCATTCATTCATTCACGATTGCCATAGTTGTGCCATTATGACTGACGTACAAACAGACAATTTCTTAGTCGATTTCGACATATATTTTCTCCGATTACATGCCCATTTATGGATTTCCTGTGTTTTGGTGTGTGTACATTACACCCAACTATGTACTACTACTAGCATGCTATGACGTCATAACATGATATGACTTCAGGTTTATTCATGATGACGCATGGCGTCAGTGACGTCACCTAGACCATGCCTGGAATAGCTTACCGACTTAATTTTATGGATGACATCCGCTGAAGACCCACAAACTAGTGCACGCGGGCGAATAAAAAAAAATTCCGGCCAAAAATAAAAATGCTACTAAACCACAGGAATACAAAGCTGGTACTAGGAATTTGCGGCACATAACGACATATACGACAAGCTGGCACATGCTGGCTTTTTGCGGAATTTATGAATCGTATGTACTGAGTTCTTGAGTCGTGGAGCTTCGGTAGCCTGGGTGCCGTCCTCCAGAGTTACTACCGGCTCCGTATTGTCGCTAACTACCGTGGACTACAGACAGGCCAGAGTCTCGGAGAACGTGAACGAGAACGTCTTTTTTTTTAGAACAGGCGAAAATCAATGTCATCCATGAAATCAAGTCGATGTGGCCTGCCTTACTACACCACGCAAACTTTTGCTTGTTCACAATTATCCTGAACTCATCGTTAAGCGTTAATGTTAGCAAATTTTTCATATGGGAGGTCTGAACGCCAGTTTGTCTGTTGTATCCGGAACCGTGTTTTATATCCAGAACCATGCTCATGCACGGTACTGGATGGTCAACGCGTATCCAGAACCGTGCCCTGGGCAAATCTACGTTCTTGGACACGCGGAGAATATCCAAAACCGTGCCTGATCCTAACCCTAACCCATTCAGGCATAGAACTAGATAGGCACGGTTTTGGATACAATAGAGACTAGCCTACCCAGAACCGTGCCTGATCCTAACCCTGACCCATTCAGGCATAGAACTAGACAGGCCCGGTTCTGGATGCAATGGCGACCTCCATTTCAGCACCAAGGACAGTCCCCGGAAGTTGAATTTTCATTCACACATAGAGCCCTATTTCAGCCTATAGCGGAACAGGCAAGCCCAGCTCTGCCCGTTACTGATCCATTGGAGGGGTCTGTTTATCCAGAATCTCCATATCGAAGTAGCAGACCACTATCGTGACGAACTGCCTGATCTCTTACTTTATACCCTTATTGTTTTAGTTAGTAGAATTGTATGATTTTGCATTTTGCATTTTCAAAGTTTGTAGCTAACAATGTTGCAGTTGTTGTAGCTTTTTCTTTCTTTTTTTGGTGGTGATTATTACGTTTTGTAGCGTCAGGCACATTCAGAAAGCCATATAATGTCCATGCGCACATACACGCACAGAGCCCTTTTTGATCCTATTTGAGCCTATAGCGGAACAGGCAGTCCTTCAGAGGTGCCAGAGTGCCCAGCCCTGCCCGTGACTGATCCATGGGAGGGGTCTCCATGTCCAGTAACTCCATGTCGAAGTAACAGACCACGATGGTGACAATCTCTTAGCTGTCACTGTTTTAGTTAGTACAATTATACGATTTTGCAGTTCTATTTGGTTCAACCTGTATTGATTTGAACTTTATCTCTATTTCTGTTTGAAGTGGCAGACATACAACAACATAATCAGAATACAATGTAATGTCCCAGTGCGGTTGTACCGGGTATACCGATACAGGTAAATATTTCAGCACCAAGGACAGTGGCCTTTCCTTCACAATCAGAGCTCTACTTGAGCCTATAACGGAAAAGACAATCGTTGAGAGGTGCCAGAGTGCCCAGCCCGGCCCTTGACTGATCCATGGGTGGGGTTTCCATGTCAAATAACTCCATCTCGAAGTAGCAGACGACGGTGGTAACGATCTCTCAGCTGTCACTGTTTTAGTTAGTACAATTATACGATTTTGTATTTCTACTTTCGTTGTTTAACTTGTATTAATTTGATTTTAATCAATTTCTGTTTGAGGTGGCAGACATACAACAACATAATCAGAAAGCAATGTGATGTCCAAGTGCGGTTGTACCGGGTATACCGATACAGGTACAGATTTCAGCACCAAGGACAGTGGCCTTTCCTTCAAAAATAGAGTCCTATTTGAGCCTATAGCGGAACAGGCAGTCCTTCAGATCTAGAGGCGCCAGAGTGCCCAGCCCGGCCCTTGACTGATCCATGGGAGGGGTCTGTTTCTCCAGTAACTCCATATCGAAGTAGCACGACCACGATAGTGACAAACTAATCTCTTAGCCCTTATTGTTTTAGTTAGTAGAATTGTAAGATTTTGCATTTGTGTTTTCAAAGTTTGTAGCTAACAATGTGAAAGTTGTTGTAGTCTTTTCTTTCTTTTTTTGGTGGTGATTATTACGTTTTGTAGAGTGAGACACATTCAGAAAGCCATATAGTGTCCGTGCGCACATACACACACTGAGAGCCCTTTTTTAATCCTATTTGAGCCTATAGCGGAACAGGCAGTCCTTCAGAGGTGCCAGAGTGCCCAGCCCGGCCCGTGACTGATCCATGGGTGGGGTCTTCATGTCAATCAACTCCATCTCGATGTAGCTGACGACTATGGTGACGATTTCTTAGCTGTCACTGTTTTAGTTAGTACAATTATACGATTTTGTATTTCTACTTTCACAGTTTAACTTGTATTAATTTGATATTTATCAGTTTCTGTTTAAGGTGGCAGACATACAACGCTATAATCAGAAAGCAATGTAATGTCCCAGTGCGGTTGTACCGGGTATACCGATACAGGTACAGATTTCAGCACCAAGGACAGTGTTCTTCCCTTCACAATCAGAGCTCTACTTGAGCCTATAGCGGAACAGGCAGTCCTTCAGAGGTGCCAGAGTGCCCAGCCCGGCCCTTGACTGATCCATGGGTGGGGTTTCCATGTCAAATAACTCCATGTCGAAGTAGCAGACGACGAAAGTGGCAAACTGTTTGATCTCTTATTGTTTTAGGTAGTAGATTTCGCGATTCTATTTTCATAGTTTGTATCTGACCATATACAAAAGTCGCTGTATCTTTCTTGCGTCAAAAAAAGGTTATTTCATTTCTTTTCAGTGGTGATGCTTTCTTATTGCAGCGTCAGAAATTTAACATTACATCTAGTACGAAAGGTGATGTCCGAGTGCTCACATACACGCACAGAGACCTATTTTAGCGCGTATATCGGCTATTCCGATACAGATTTCAGCACCAAGGACAGTGTTCTTCCCTTCACAATCAGAGCTCTACTTGAGCCTATAACGGAAAAGACAATCGTTGAGAGGTGCCAGCGTGCCCAGCCCTGCCCGTGACTGATCCATGGGTGGGGTCTCCATGTCCAGTAACTCCATGTCAAAGTAGCAGACGACGATGGTGACGAACTGTTTGATCTCGTTCAGTGCGAAGAACCTTCCGGGACACATGCTGACGCCATGCCCGAACGGAAGCAGGTACTGACGCAACTTCCGGCCGTTCTTGTAGAACGCGGTCTTCTCCTGGCCGTCTTCAAGGAACCGGTCGTACTTGAAGGTCTGAAGCAAAAACGTGTGGAGAAATTAGAAGAGAAGAACTTTTTTTTAATACAGAACCGTGAATTATCTATAATCATGTTTCAGACACGACTCTGGATAGTCCCCCAGGGATCTTTCATTGTGGTCTTAGTAGTTCAGGTCGTTAGAGGATTGTCTGGTTGAAATATAAAACTCCTTGCAAGGTACAGTGTACCAATCAGCTAGCGCTCTTACTTTCATCAGTGCGAGATAAAG